GTGTTATTTATAATCCATACCCATAAGGCACACTGATATGTGTCCTACATATGGTATAATTAACCTGAGTCATAAATAACTTATCAATCATTTGTCCCCAGGTGTCAGAGGCAATATACGATGCCTTTCTTAAGAATGAAACTGGGGAAACATTGTTACTACAAATATACCTTATTGTTTTGAGCTCCTACTTCAGAAATTGAGTTAATTTACTTGAACTAAGCTAAAATTTTAACCCTTGCATAAACCCTGAATAAAAGCAAATCACTGGTGTAAAGAGGACTACAAGAAGATGATCAACCTATTTAAGAGCACAATCTACTTGGAAGTAATAATTTGAAGTAATCATTCATTTATTAATTCAGCCAATATTTATTAAGCAGCTGTATGCACCAACCATGGGTCTGGAAATACAAGGACAAATAAAGCAAAGTTCCAGCCTTTAAGGAACTTAACATTCTAATAGATGGGAATACAAACAACTAAACAGGTTCAACAAAATGTCACAGTTGCCAAGATAGCAGTCTCACGAGGGATAGAAAGGGATAGAGGTGGGAGTGCAATGGCCATATCTACCTGTGGAACTGAGAATAGGCAGAAAAGTCTTCAACAAGAAGATAACACTTGAACTGAATCTCTGGAATTAAGAATGTGGCTGTATGGGCTGATTGGATATGGATGAGGATATTCTAGGAATAGATCCAGAAGTCTGAAATAACCCACCTGGTTAGTGGAATAGTTGGCAGGATTGGAGCACAGACTACTGTGGGAGTTAAGTGGGATGAGGCTGGAGTGGTGGGCAGGGGTCAGGGCATGGGTGGCTTGGTACCATGGACTAAAGGAATTTGAACTCTATCCAGTGGAGAGCCAGTGCAGTCCTTTAGGCAAGATTATAACATCAGTTTACTTCACTGGTGTGTCAGCAGTGGATTAGACAGGTGGAGCTAGTGGTGGTTAAACTGTTGACGTAGTGCAGGTAAACAAAGGTTGATACCCTGAAATAAGAATGTAGCCATTGAAATGAAGAGGAGATAGATGGGAGAGATGCTAGAATCTGTAGGACTTACTGATGGATTGTAGTGCAGGTATGGGCAGAGGAAGGCAGTGGGTCTCATGGTTACATATTAGAATCATCTGAGGGACTTTTAAAAATACTGATGGCCAGGCCTTGCTCCAGATCAATTAAATCAGAAGCTGTGTGGGTGGATATTTTCTTAAAACCTCCCAGCTGATTCTACAGTTGATTTCCAAGGTTGAGAATTACTGAACTTGTGAAACTGGAGTCACCTTGAACCTGATTAGGAAAAATTATACAAAATAGAATTTTCCCACATTTATAATAATGGTAATTGCTATTATTATTCATAAACTTAAATATGTAGGAAATAATACATTTCTTTCTGTAATAGCTTAAATTCTATTTTGTGCCTCCAATCCCACCAGGCTGAAAGAAAATTTAAGTGCAATCATTTAAGTTCCCTCCTCCCCCCTTCAGTTATGCTACCTTACACATTGCCCAGTTGTCAGGTACTGGTATCCTGTTCAGGTAATCGGGCAATGCTGCTTGCTGCTGAGACAGTTACCAGCCCAGTTGTATGTGGTATCCGGCTTCCAGGACAACACCCAATGATCCTTACCTCCTGATCCTCACACCCTTCTGCAGCTTTCTCCCACATCATACCAGGGTTGTCTGTGTGACAATTAGAATTCTGAGGAAGTGACTGTGTGTGACTTCTGAGACGGTCAAAAAAAGACATTACCACCTCTGATTTGCTCCCTTGGATGTCCCATCTGGGCAAAGCCAGTCTCCATGCTGTGAGGATACTCAAACAGCTCTCTGAGGGTTCTATGTATGAGGAGCTCAGGCCTCCTGCCAACAGCCAGCACCAACGTGCCAGCCCTGTGAGTCGTCTATCTCAGACGGATTCTGTAGCCCCAGCCAAGCCTTTTGATGACTGCAGCCATGGCTGATATTTTGACTACAACCTTATGAGACCCTGAACCAGAACCACACCGCTAAGCTGTTCCTGAATTCTTTACCCATCAGATATTAAATGTTTGTTGTTTAAGCCTACTGAGTTTTGAAGTGGTAATATGTTACACAACAATACATAACTAATACACCATGGCCCTTACAGGCCAGATCTAAACATTGTCTTTTGCTTACATGACACCCCAGAAGCATAGGAATTTCCTGCTGTTTCACGAGGCACTGGAGAATTTAAATTACTGTGCAGTTGTCTATGGCCCTTGCAGGCCTGCCCTCCTGCATCCCCAGCCTACAGGTATTTTCTTACTGCCTTTGGAAAATCATTCTCCACCTTCATGTCCATAATATTTTGTACTCCAATCTTCTCACCTTCTCCAGGACTTTTAGAAATAAAAGGCAGAAAACTTGCAAGCTTCTTTCTACCATGTTATAGTCTCTTCCCTAAGACAGTGAACACATGGCTATCTCCTTGAGTTTTGGGTGGTGGATAAGGAAAGAGGAAAATGGAAGGGAAAAAAATCATAGGTAAATATCTCAAAATACTATCCTACTACAATTGTTAGTACGCGTTGAGCGTTTAGTCTGCGCCACACACTATATGGAATTCTTTAAATGTTTTATCTCACTGAATCCTTACAATAACCTATGAAGTAAGTACTATTATACTCATTTTACAAACAAGCAGTTCAGGTTTACAGAGAGATTAAGTAACTTGCCTGAGGTCTGAAAGCTTGTAGGTGGCAAAGCTGGGACTCGACCAGGTATCTGTCTCACTGGGAAGCCCAGGCTTTTGACCATGACCACGCAGTTTCTTTCCATGAGGCTGGGGAGGGGAAAGGGTGGATCTAAGGATGCTCTCCTTTGGCTCAATTTGTTCACATAAGTAAGCATGCCAGGCTTAGCTAAGATTTATTTGTTCATTAAAACATTTCTGAGGGGCCAGCTGAGTGGTGCTTTGGTTAAGAGTTGGCTTGGGACACCAGCTCTGAGCAGCAGGGCCCCAGTTCAGATCCCACATGAGGGCCAGTGACACTGTGCCCTCTACAGCTAAGATGGTGAACAACAGCTCAACCTGGAGCTGGGCTGCCGTGAGTTGCCAGCAATGGCGTAGGCTGCAGTCCCTGCTGCAGTGGGCTGCCGTGAAGTACCGTCAGTGGCCGGCAGCTGGCATTAGCTACTGTGAGCCGCCGTGAGCGGCTGTCCAGTGGCCTGCGAGCGACTGTTTCAGCCGGGAAGAGTGCAATGATAATACCAACATGGGCCAGTGAAGTGACGTTCTCCACAACTAGACTGAAGAACAAAAGAACAGCAACTTGTCTGTTCCCCTTTCCCGATTCCCCAACGCTGTTCCCTTCCCCCAATTCCCCAATAAAACATTAAAAAAAACCCAAAAAACATTTTTGACAGCAGCTGATACTTCTCAACACTTTGCAGGCATACCTACTCTGTGCATATAAACATTTGAAACATTTAAAAACTACAGTTCTAAAATACTGTCTAAATCAGACATTTTATTTAGTTAAGCAGGCCATACATCCAGCCAACAAGTGTTTTCCAAATACCTGTGCTGTAGGTGTTATGTGTGATGCTGGGGGTGCCTAGATAAATTACTCACTCATGTGTTTGGATGGTACAGACATAAAAACTAATAATTATGGCAGTGAGATAAGCTCTGTATCTAAAAAGTCTATGAACTTCATACTCTGGAATGCAGAAGAGAAATATTGGGTTGTTGGAAAAGTCATGATGTATTTTTGCAACAAAAAACATAGAAAAAATACATCATGACTTTTCCGAAAACCCAATACTAATCTTCGTTTAGGTATAACAGGAATATTCCTGGAGGTAACATTTCAGCCTTCAAGGATGAATAGGGATTCACTGGTAGGACATTCTGGATGGAGGAAGTGACGTGGGCAAAGGTGCTGGGCAATTTTGGAGAGCTCCACATAGTTGAAGATAATTGAAGAGCAGGATGAATGCTTGTAGGTACCAGATAATGAAGAGGTTTGTTATACCATGCTAGTGAGTAAAACGGATTAAATCTCTAACCTGACGGGTGGAATCTTGCCCACAGGTAATGCTTTGTTTGGCACAGTTTTTAAAATTTGAATGCTTTTAAGCAAACATCCTGTCTCCTCAGGCCACCTCTCCATGTTATATTTGACCTGACTAATAACATATTTAGGATTCCTAAGTAGCCTTGTAGACATTTGAGTTTACTTCTGCTACAGCAATGGGGAAGTCACTGAGGAATATTTTAAAGCAGAGAGAGCATTTGCTCTTTTAGAAAAGACCATTCTGGTTTATTGGAGGATGAATGGTGAGGCCACATGGGAAGGGTGAGAAGCAGTACAAGATTAAGAAAGAGACTTATTGGATGAGGAGGCTGAGGGAGGGAGAAGAGGTACGATTCTCATGTTCCCACTGGGTGAATGGTGGTGCCATTCACCCAAAATCAAGAAAATGGAAGGTTTTACTCTATATATTATATAAAGTCATAAAATTCCTTGGGAAGGATTGTGGAGTGCTTGCTAGAGTCCACATAATGGCTATCCAGTGCATAGATGAAGTCTACCTGGAGACTTTTCAAAAGTGACATAAATGTGCCTATAAATATTATGACATATTTATGTCACAAATCAGGATACATGTAGGACATGTTGGAATATGTAAGAATTTTTTCTTACACAGATGGTAAGAATGAGACATAATGTTTAAAATAGGGACTGTTCTGTAAAATCTGGTGCATATGGTCATTGGCTATAAAAATTACTTTGTTGTCTCATCTGGGCTCCCTTTAATCAAAGGTCTCTCTGAATGAAAATACTGACTCTCATTAGACTGTACATGTTTAAATGAGCTTGTCTCAGGTACAGCTAGATAATTTATAAGTGTTTCCTTATTCTCATGTTAAATAATAATTTAGAACTCCTCCTTATTGTACTTATCACCAGAGCTATTAATGGGAAACCCCATCACCTGACTCGTTTCTCCTCTTTTTCCCCAGCTCACATTCACTGGAGATGTTAATGGGAAATACAATGTCTAAAAGACAGGAAGCAGGAGAGAAATGGAGGATCCTCCAACTGGATACTCAGGTACTGAACAATCTCAAATCCACAAAAATCTGTTTTGCAATCTGTAAAGTATCTAGCGCTCTCGAAATGCAAAGTAAGTATAAGAAGGAAAACCACATTGTAATAATGTCTCCCTGTTATTCCATACATATTAGTATGTTATAATTTTTACAATTATTGTTAAACCTGATTTTTTATATCACAAACATTGTCAAAACTTTAGAAACACAATTAGCCTACCAAAAATATTGAGTGAGATACTACATAGAATGAAAAGATCTATAAAACATGATTCTTTTCAGGAGTTTAATACTAAATAGAGGAAATAATACACATTCATGAAAAAGATAATGACATAAGCTACTATATGATGTGAAAAGAATAGTTCTAATTGTAAGTACACACTTGAACAAATAGTATGGCAAATATACAAATGATAAGTAATGTATTTTTCAATTAAAACAGCCAAACAGTATTTGTTTATAAGATGGACTTAGGCTATTTACAATGAATACATGATAACATTGAGAAATGTTTTAAAATTAGTCACTACAATAACATGCTCATGATATTCAGATAATGACAATGAAAGATAGTCTCATTTTATATATTTTTTATTTATTTTTAAAGATTTTTATTAAAATATAGCTAACATACAATATTACAATAGTTTCAGGTGTACACCATGGTTATTCAACATTTATATACCTAAAGAAGTGATCACCATGTGTCCCTATTTTGGTTGCCTGCCTGTGTCTGTTTCTATGTATTAGGTAGGGCTGCTATGTCTCCTGGTCTTAGTAGTGTGGCCTTATGAAGTGTGGGGCCCAATGGCTCAGTCTCTCTGGTCACCAGAGCCAGGTGCTCCAGTGTGTCTATTGTGTACGTTATGTGTGCCCTCCTATTGTGGGTAAGCGAGCCTTGGTTGCTGTTTGCACATCAGTGGGAGGGATTAACCCTCAGGCTGACTGGTTTTGAGGACTGTCTGTGACTACAGTGGAGGAGTTGTGGTACAGGGGCTGACCCTACAGAGCAGGATTTGCTTTAGCAGGGTTCTGGGACCTGCCTAGTGTGTCCTCTGGATGTGTCATCTTTGGAGGCAGATGGGTGATGCTTTGGCTTGGTCTGAAGCTGGCCATTGGGTGTGCCAGCCCAGGGGTCTCCTGGGAGGGGACCTGCTGCAGGCCAAGTTCAGCTGCAGCCTGTGCCCTGCTCAGGGCCACTTGGCGTAAGCCACAAAGCAATGCGCAGATGGCCGCCACCCATGCTGTGCTTGAAGGTGCCTTGAAAGGCCAAGTCGGGATCCAGGGTCGGCTGCTCTAGTGCTGGGCTTAAGGCTGCTCAGCCAGAGGTTTGTAATGCTGAAACAGATGCTGATTGTTTGGGTTTTGTGCACCTTTGAGAGATTTTAGGACAGTATGCAGCATGAACCAAGGCAGGTCTTTTGTATGAAAAAACCACTGGAGCGACTGATCTGCCTCGCCAGAGAAGAGCGCAATGATGGTGCCAACTTGGGCCAGTGAAGCAACATCCTCCACAACTAGACTGAAGAACAAAATGACAGCAACTTGTCTGTTCCCCTTCCCCCAATTCCCCAGCACTGTTCCCATTCCCCCAATTCCTCCAATAAAAATCTTTAAAAAAAAAAAAGAAAAAAGAAAAAACCACTGGAAGTGGCTTGGGTGTACCAGAAAGTTGGGTGGGGCGTGGTCTCAGAATCATCAGGGTGGGACTAATGAACAGTGTTAGTCAGGTTGATGGAAACTCAAGTGTGGAGACATGGAGGCTGCCTGCATCTGCACACCAGGAGCAGGGAGGACTCAACAAAAAAACAATGGCTTCTTCCAGCTCTTCCATTCAGGAGAAAGCTTCCCCTCCAGCCCTGGTCCCTAAGTCAAACAATTCATTTCCTCCCCATGTGTCCCTCACACCCTTTGAGCTGCTGTCCCAGTGCTTGAGCTCAAAGCAAATGAGTTTGTTAGTAAGTCCATTTATGGGCCCTTTAATAGCAGCACTTGGGATTGTAGCCACCCTCCATCTCACTCAGCCGCAGTATCTGCTGGTTTTCACAGCCAGAAGTTATGGGGGCTTCTCTCCCCAACACTGAATCCCTGGGCTGGGAATCCTGGTGTGGGGTTGGGACTCCTCACTCCTACAGAGGGTTCCTCCACTACTGAGATATCTTTCCCGATTTTTAGTGGTTATACACAGGTTTGGGACCAGCCTTCTGTGTCTCTGCCCCTCCTACCAGTCTTGAGGTAGTTTCTTCCTCTGTATGTCCATAGTTGTAGGACTTTGGTTCAGCTAAATTTCAGGCAATTCTCAATGATGGTTGTTCTGTAGTTTAGTTGTAATTTTGATGTGGTCATGAGAGAATGCAAGCACAGCATTTACCTACTCCACCATCTTGACTTAAAATCCTCATTTTTTTTTTATAAAGCAAATATTATATTATTAAACTCTAGATTAAAAAGTAATTCATAAGAGAGTCAAACATTCACATTAAAGTCTCTTATAAATTATAGAGAATATATATTTAAAGATATGATAATTCATTGTTTTAGCATTATAACTTTTATAATAACTTGTATTTTTTCTTATTCCAAAAGTAGTACATGTGCATGGAAAAAATTTACAGGAAAAAAACCCAGAAAACAAAAAATAGTAATTTTAATATTAGAAAATAGCATTCCCACCAACAGTGTTTGAGAGTTTCTTTTTCTTCACAGCCTCTCCAACACTTGTTATTATTTGTCTTGTTGATGATAGCCATTCTAATGGGCATGAGGTGATAGCTTATTGTGGTTTTTATTTGCATTTCTTTGATGATTAGTGATGTTCAGCATTTATTCATATGTGTGTTGGCCATTTGTGTGTCCTCTTTGGAGAAATGTCTGTTCAGGTCCTCTGCCCATTTTTTTAATTGGATTGTTTGTTTTTTTGTTGTTGAGTTGTATGAGTTCCTTATATATTTAGGCTATTAGCCCCTTATTGGAGGCGTTGTTTGCAAAAGGAACCCTTATACACTATTGGTCAGAATGCAGATTGGTGTAGCCGCTGTGGAAAGCAGTGTGGAGGTTCCTCAAAAAATTAAGAATAGAATCACCATATGACCCAGCCATCCCTCTCTTGGATATCTACCCAAAAAATCTGAAAACATTTATCTGTAAAGATATATGTTCTCTGATGTTCATTGCAGCTTTATTTATGGTGTCCAAGACATGGAAACAACCAAAGTGTCCTTCAGTAGATGATTGGATAAAGAAGATGTGGTATATATACACAATGGAATACTATTCTGCCATAAGAAAAGATGAAATAGTGCCATTTGCAATAACATGGATGGATCTTGAGATTATTATGCTAAGTGAAGTAAATCAGACAGAAAAAGTCAAGAACCGTATGATTTCAGTGTTATGTGGTAGGTAAAACTGAAAACAACAAAAGAACAAGACAAACAAATGAAGAAACAAAAACTCATAGACACAGACGATAGTTTAGTGGTTACCAGAGGTAAGAGGGGAGGGAGGTGGTAGATGAGGGTAAAAGTGATCAAATATATGTTGATGGAAGGAGAACTGACTCTGGATGGTGAACACACAATGCGATATATAGATGTATTACAGAATTGTACACCTGAAACCTATGTAACTTTAACAATTGTCACCCCAATAAACTTTAATTAAAAAATATTAGAAAATTGCTTGTAGGTTAAGTTATTTGGACTAATCTTCCTGCCCAAAATAGCTGAAAATGCTAGAAAAAAATATAAAAAAATACTTTAAAAGCATTGAAGATGTGGGAGAACTGAAACCCAGAGATGTTAGTGAGCACAGAAGCCATTTGCTAAAAACATGTGCTGATCCCTAGCAAATTTCAGCTTTCATTTTGACAGTCTTTGAGGCCAAGAGCACAGAAATCTAGGCACATGGCCCACACAGCAAGGTTTCAGTAGTCAATATGGACTCACACAGCAAGTTGAAACTGCCAAAGAATACACCTTTGTGAGAGAGGTAAACTAGACATAATCCGGTGCTCAGTACACCAGGTTGGGAGACTCAAGTTGTGATATTTCAACTTACAACAATACAGGTTTATAATGTTCTGCCATTTGTATGAAGTTAATTAGTTCTGGCACTTAAATCAGTTCTCTGACCTGTCAATCAATCCAACATAAGGACATGAAAACAAACTTAGACAAACATGCTGAAAAAAAACAACTAAGTTAGAACCTTGTATCAGGAATCACTTCAGCCAAATAACGATGGCTTAAAGAAAGGTAGTCTTTTGTTTCTCTCTCATATAAAAGTTGAGCTAAGGTGGTCCAGGGCTGTTGTAGCTTTGATTCCCAAGATCACCTCATGTTCCATCTAGACTATTTCAGCCATCACATCCCAGTGTGCCTGGAGGAGGAAAAGAAGAATCAGGGGCAAAGGATACGTGCCATCTGTTTTTTAAAGATTTCAGTGCTATATTTTACTTACCTATAAGAAAGAGAAAAACAGCTCCTGACACCAAAATCAGACAACGCCATGAAAAGAAAATGACATAAATTATGCTGAACATAGATAAAAACATGAACATTGACCAAATTGCAAAGTGATGACATGTCTTCCTACTCTAATGAGTGACTGCAGGTTTGTTACCAATTACAGCTTTGGTTGTGTTTCATACCTCCTGCTAATATTTTAAAAAACCCAATCACAGAATTACTCCTGCTTCCTGACAAGCATCCAATCCAGAGTAAAACCCTGCTTCCCTCAACCCTCCCTAATAATGCCTCATACAAACGAAATTTTATAGTAAAGCCTTTCTAACATTTTCTTATGAGACACTATGGTCGGCATTCTCCCTCATAATAATGAGCAATAAACCCAACTTGTTCAACCACTGGCTTATTCCTGTGGTCTCTGGATGAAGGGCATGAATACCTGTTATAGTGATAAATTAGTTATCGGACCACACTTAGTTTAGTGAGAGTTGCTGAGAAATGTAGTCTTTTTTTGGACCATCACATGCTC